TTTACACAGACAGTTCAGTGTCAAGAGGCAAAAGAAGTGCTTGGGGCTTCTTAGCAAAAGTTAATGGTCGACGTTTGGTGCAGGAGAGCCTAGCATATGATCTGACAACATCCAGCTTAAGAATGGAGGTGGGGGCGGTCACTGCAGCTTTCCGCTGGCTAGAGAGCACGACACACACATACACATCGTGATTGTAACTGATTCAGAAAGCATGCTGAGGAAGATCAGAACAGGTATGGTTCGTGCAGAGTGGCATGCTTCGCTGAGTAGGACACGAGTGAGGAGTATTGTCTGGATTTTTTCACCTGGGTTCTGCCGGTGTGTTGGGAAATGAACAGGCGGACAGACTGGCTGGCTCTGCACAACTTAGTGGAATACTGATACATGATAGGGCAGACGTGGTTAGTGCCTTGTGGGAGAGCGTGTACAATTGGGAGGAGCAGATGGATCACCACAGTCTGGTGAGATTGATGCAGTTGGGTGTGACGAGAGGTTCTGGCAGATGCTCGAGGCTCAGAGGAAAGGCAAGACGGACGTTTACGCACTTATGGACTTAATGGTTTGGTGTGCAATAAGGATTTTGTTTTCAACTATCTAACTAGCTTGTACATTTATGCCCAGAGCCTATAAATTTAACATTTGTGACTAATAAATGACTCTCGTGAAATAAATTTATAGTAGCAACAATAAAATAAGTTGCGTTCATTGTTTGCATTGAATGTAAAATCAGAATACACACGTTCCAAGGTTGCAGCCTAGCTATAAGAATATAGCGCATAGGGCAGAGGTCATAACTCTCCGTGTCTGTCGGTTAGTTGCCATCTATTTTAAGCCTTGTATGTTCATTAGGCCCATGGTTGAGCCTTTCCTAGTAATGTTTCTACGCAAGGTCTCTCTTGGTTTTTGCCGTTTTCTTTAACCTTCCGAAGGGCTTGATGCGACAGTTTTTGATCAGAAATCTTTTCCGTAGAGATTTAGTTTTCTTCTAAGACATCTGTTCTCACAACTATCTATTAATTTTTTTTTTAATCTAGAACTACTGTTGCTTTTCAACTCTCTATAAGTTGTTGGCACTGCATCCACACAAGAGTTGAAGATCTTAAGTTGTGTGTATTTGCTGAATGTCCTTGACTTCCAGATGTTCGACAGTTTGTTAAAGGCACTTGCTGCCTGAGCGATTCTAGATATTTCTGGCGCTAAACCTCCTGTAGAAAACATCTTACTTGCTAGGTATGTAAAGCTGTTGACTATTTCAAGAATGTGATTGTTTAGTTTCATGTCGCCTGAATGACCTTGGTTCCCAGGTGGACTCAGTCATGAGTTGGTAACAGGTACAGTCATGGGAAGTAAAGGCGGCCAGTTTTATGCTGACCGCATCACCCACAGAGTGCCGATTGGTCTATAAAATATAGGTCTAAGCCTATACGCACAATACGCCTGAGTCATTTTTATAATTGATTATATCTACCATAACAGACCTGTCCCCTCCAAATGACGAGGGCGCCTCGTTACAGTGACACATGCACTTGGTTGTTAGATTTGGCCAGAGCTGAGACATTTTTGTAAGTGTGTCAGGCTGGTCATGAGGCTAAGTACACTTATTCACATATATAAACATAACGACAAACATAAACATACCCACATATACAAACATATCTGCTTATATAAACATATCCACAAATACAGATACGTCTACACACAGAAACGTTTCCACATACATAAAGACTTCAAAATACGTAGACATATCCACAAAAATGAACATAGCTACATACATAAACACATACATAAATACATATAGATACAGAAACATATCCACAAACATAACAACATATATAAACATATCTGCATAAATTAACATAACTTCATACACAAATGCATATACTAACATATATCTACACAAATAAACATGTCTGCATATATAAACATCCACACATATAATCATATGCACATATATAAACATATCCAAATTCATAAATAGACTGATAAATTAAATGTCCACATCTTCAGTATTCATTTATTCTACCAACTACAATCGCTAATGAAGGAAGTCAGGTCGTACAGGGGAGACACCTGGCACCTTCCCTAGCACGAGGGCACGACTGGGGTGACCGTTAAAAAACCGTCACTACTTCCGGTAAAAATGGACTCTAGGCACTGTCACTATTGTGAGCCGTAGCAAATTTTTTTGCGTCTGCCAGACGGTGGCCGGAGCATTTTTTCTCCATTTGTAGACTGAAAGTATAGTTTCGTCGCCCAGCTTCTGAGTTGAGTGCATGGCGTGACACTGTGAACTGCTGATATCATTTACAATATTTTTTTACTGTGACTAACGTGGTGGTGTGAATTGTAGATTCAGAAAATGGTGCAATGCCTGTTGTCGCAATATTGACGGTGCCATTATGTTATTAAAATTGATCGCGTGTGCAGCTGCTGATCTGTTAGTGACTTCTGCTACCATCCATGATAAACCGCATTTCTAATGTTGGACTGTTTGTGTTAGCACTTCGGATAGCTACTGTATGCTTTCAATGCGTGTGTATGCTAGTGCATATGCTGAGACAGCAGTCTGTCAATCTTTCCACAAGGGACTGTGATAAACATTCTGTGTGGTTTTCGTTGGCACAGGGGCGGAGTAACAATGGGGTGACCCGTTTGCTATGAAGCTGAAACTAAGATTACCAGATTACAATGGATATAAGGTGCTAGATCTATTCTGAAGTAGATTAATTAGTACTAAGCATATTCATTCCCACTCTATACTACCAGTGCCAGACATGGTCACTCACAACATACCATTAAATAAAATTAGTAACCATGGAAATGAGATTATAAGAAGGGCTGCAGAATGATCAAAAGAGCTAAATCAGGAATTAGGTCGAAAGAGAAAAATTCAACACACACAAATTACACACAAAGACAGCACAGAAAGTCATACGGTTTGGCCCTTTAGAAAGAATGTCTTGTAATGAAAAACCGGAGCACGTAGAGCATGTAGACCAAGAACAAGATGGAAAGATAACATCAGAGAAACTCTACAACAGAATGGTGGGTCTGTGGTCAAGGCAGCCAGAAGAGCAAGAAGCAGAACCTTGTATCTCCATCAACATCCAAAGTTGCAGATAAATACAATGACATCATAATGTCAGCTTTAAGATGGCCACTTCTGATATGCACCAAAGAGGAGCAGCATTCTGTTTTCCATTTTGTGATCAGTGAAGGGGGAAACCTCATAGAAATTCATTGGCAAATGAAGGTCCAGTGTGGAGATGCATGTTAAGACCTTTGGTCCAGCGGGCAAGTGTCCACACCCTGGCTGAGGTGTTATTATACAAAGTTGGAAAAAAAACAATTTAAAGTAAGCTATATCTCAACAAGAATTACAAATATTGAAAGAAAAAGTAAGTGTTGAACATAAACTGACTACAGCTGAAACTACACAATGGCTGAAAACAGTGAAATGCACTTGTAATCTTCCTCTTCTTTTATCTGTACCTGCTCTGAACCCCTAGGCATTGCAGTCTGAGGGATGATAGGCAGCTGAACCAGCATACTTGAGGGCCTGGTATACCCTGATCATGTAAAGACTTAGACAGTCTGTGACTCTGATATTTCAGTCCTTGTTTCTCAGTGAATTTAACTCTGGGTATTGTTCTAATAGTTCTTCAAATCTCTTCATTTCTCAAACAGACGTTTAATATACCACAGGGTAGTTTCTGTAAACATTTTATTTAGTTAATAAGTTAAAGAACACTCAACAATTGAAGTGTGCCAGATAATAAACATTCCTTTGAGTGTCATCTTCACAGTGAAGGTTGACTGCAGTGGATCTCTAATATAACCCATTTTTTATCCTGGCTGTACAATCTCTTCTTCTTCTTCTTTCTGCTACTCCTTGAATGCCTCGTGGCATCAGAGCAGAAAAATATCTCTGGAATTGGCCTTTTTGTTCGCTCTGTAGTACTTTTCAGTGTCTCTGATATTTCACCGGTCTATTTTCTGCATGGTTGACCTCTGGATCAGTTACTGCTGTATCTGTATAACACTGCTCTCTGTGGTGCCCTGTCTGATGCCAATCTTGTTACATGGCCAAACCATTTGATTTGTTGTCTACCTATAAAGTTCAGTAATGGTTTTGTGCTGACTCTCCTCCTGATATCATCGTTCATAAGTCCATCTTTCCTCGTTACACGTAGCTCAGTATGAAAACATTTCATTTCTCTCATGACTATTTTCCTCCTATCTTCTGAAGACAGTGTCCATGTTTGACATTGCTATCATAGTGTTGGTAAGAATATTTTGTTAAACAGTGTTCTTTTATATTCACATACTTGCATTTCAGAATTGATGCCTAAAACTTGATTTGCTTTATTGCATCTTTGCTGGATTTTTTAATTAATTCTTTCATCTTCTGAAAAAATGCTTCCCAGATATATAAAATCCTTCACTTGCTCTAAATGGTGTTCATCAATTTTGATATTGGTGGTTCTTCCTTTTCTGCAGAATGCCATCACTTCTGCTTTGTCTACCTTGATCTTCATGTCGTTATTGTCGCATTCTGAGTGAATTCTTTTAAAATGTTCTTGTAGTTGTACTGCTGTTGTTGCTATAATTATACACTCTCTAAGCCTGCTATTTACCAATCTCTTAACGCTCTCCTCCCATTTGTATCACTATCTACCTCTTGCTTTCTTGTCTATAATTTTCCCATTTAGTATGTTTTTTTGTATTCAATTTTACAGCTTTTAGTCTCTGAAGAACCTCTGTGTTTAATGGTATTTGTTTCCATGAAGTATACCTTCTCTAAATCCACATTCCCAGAGAAAATATGACTTTCTGATTGTTTGTTTATTGTCCAGGTTCATACTATACGGTAAGGCTGTGTATAACTAATGTCTGACAATTCTCATTTGTAACTGTGCTAGATGAAAACGCACATAACAAAAGTATATATTTGAAAACAACAGTAATAAAAGAATTCAGTCATGAGACAGTATTTGATCTCATCGGCGGCGTCTTTTTGGTTCCCTTCTTCTGGTTTTGCTGTCAACAATGAACTGAGATTGCTTTTTGATGGTTGAGCGGTTGGGCACATCAACATCATCCTCACCACTGTCTTCATCATCTATCCAGATATAAATAACAAATAACATACATGTATGCCCACCTCTACTGATAAATAAACAATCATTTGTATTATATATAGTACAAAAATGATACAATCTTGGGCTATCCTCAGACTAACGATCCGCAAAGATGGGGGCCGCAAAATATCCAGTCGAGCCACAGTCACGTGTCAATTGCGCGCTTCCGGCTACTTAATTTGCGGTCTTCCTGATGTTTTCCGCCAACAACCGCTACCGCCACGTGGCCCCCACCGGATTGGGGCTAAAGTAGATAGCTAGGACTCACGAGCAGCAGCTTCCGCATCTCCTGCAGCCTTGCTCGTGAGTGCCACGTGGCGGTAGCCATAGCCGCCGGAAGCGCGCAATTGACACGTGACTGTGGCTTGACTGGATATTTTGCGGCGGCCATCTGTGCCGACCGTTAGTTGGAGGTTAGCCCAATCTTGTATTTCTGCTTTTTCTTCTTTGCATTCACCGGCGGTAAACTCCAGTGGAAAGTTATGAATGTTCATCCACTTCTAGACTTTTGTTTTAGAACTTGGGTTGCTAGTGCACATCTGTTTTACATATATGGCTTATTTGTATGCAGACTGTTGGTTCCTCACCTTTCGGGCAGATACACTTGACTTTGAGGGACACACCTCCTAATTAGTCTCCTCCTATGCTTTTTAGTGGGTCTATCCTCACCCCCCCTCCCCATTAATGGGACCCATAAACCATACGGGCAATTAGGGTAAAAAAACTGATGGAAAGGACATTGAGTAAATGTCATGTAATGGTACAGAATAGGATGACTGCAAGCTGATTGAGGACTCATGCACCAGAATCTTGTGGCACCTCTTCAAGCAGGTGTAGACTGAGCAAAGGCCTCATTCACCTGCAGCTTAACAGTAGGCAATAAATAACAGAGAGTCCATATCACTACCAACAAGTCCATCAAGTTGTCACAAAAGATTTATAACAATATATACAAATGGAATAAAGCACAGTGAAACAGAATCAGCAAAGGAGTTTCAAAAGGGCAACATATGGGTACTGTGTATTAAAATGTCTAGCTAGCTTCCCTTAGTATTTAATCCAGTGAGCTGCAACTAAAAAGCTTATGAAATAGGGAAGCAAACACAAAATTTGCACAAAACAGCATAAATTGTTATTTTGGCCAAGGTCTTTCTCAACATGAACTAAACTACACAACAGTAACAAATGGGACAGTACTCCAACCAACAACACTGGATTCATTTCTTAGATTTAGCTTGACTACAGTCACCCCTATTTTCACAACTTTTTAGATTCCCTTTAGTATGCAATAAAAATATAATTATAAATATAAAATCTATAATGATGCATCATCCTGTGTTTGACACATACAAACAATAGCTGGTTACATATGTTGTGATTATTGGGCCAGAAAGAGTTAACTGTAACAGACTGTTAGAGTAGAGAGAACATATGAATGAAATAATTAATTGTAACAGACTGTTAGAGTACAGAGAACACATGAATGAAAGAGTTAATTGTAACAGACTGTTAGAGTACACAGAACACATGGATGAAAGAGTTAACTGTAACAGACTGTTAGAGTACAGAGAACATATGAATGAAAGAGTTAACTGTAACAGACTGTTAGTTTAGAGAACACATGAATGAAAAAATTAATTGTAACAGACTGTTAGAGTACACAGAACACATGAATGAAAGAGTTGACTGTAACAGACTGTTAGAGTACAGAAAACACATGAATGAATGAGTTGAATGTAACAGACAGTTAGAGTACAGACAATACATGAATAAAAGAGTTAATTGTACCAGACTGTTAGAGTACAGACAACACATTAATGAAAGAGTTAATTGTAACAGACTGTTAGAGTACAGACAACACATGAATGAAAGAGTTAATTGTAACAGACTGTTAGAGTACAGACAACACATGAATGAAAGAGTTAACTGTAACAGACTGTTAGAATACAGAGTACACATGAATGATCTTACCTTCATAGACCAGATCTCTCTGTGTCTGAGGAAGTTTGATGCGTGTGTTGTAGGGTGGTAGTTTTCCTTCTATACTAGCATGGAACTGGTGAAATACACATTCATTAAGTTGAATACTTACACACGGATCCTACAATAATGTAAGTTCAATAATTCTACAATATATTTTACAATGCTTATAGAATAATTTAAGCTCTATATTTATACAAGGCATCAGCAATAATATAAGTTAAATAATTTTACAATACATGTACAATGAGGTAAGTTCAATATTTACACAAGGTATCTGCACTAATGTCATCATCATCATCATCATAAACCACTTCTGCCATTAAGCGTAGGGAGGAGGAATAATTTACGATCCAGTGCACATTGGCTACCACTGGCTATTGTCATGCCGTGAAGGCGTAGAGTGTCTTTAATGTTGTCGATCCATGTTTTCTGCGGCCATCCTCTTGCTTTTGTAGCTGATCTTCTGAGATATAGTGCTTGTGATGGTATCTGATCTTGCGGCATTCTAACAAGATGGCCAAACCACATAACCTGCTGTTTCTCGATGAATCTAGTGCAAGGTGTCGTTCCCACAATTTTCCTGATAGTTTCATTATTCACTCGATCTCGGATGCTTTTCTCAGGCACTTATATAAGTGACATAATTTACACAACTTTTACAAAAATTAAAGTTCAATCTTTACAGAAGCATGTACAATAATGCTTAGTTGAATATTTAACAAGACATTTACAACAATGTGTTTGATGATTACACAATGCATGTTAAATAATGTAAGATAAATATTTTCACGAGATATTTTTACATGCTTCAAATAGGATCCTAAAAGGACTGCCTTACTATATATAAAGAAAAATTATTTAAATAAAACAAAAACTATGATCATTAATTTTTAAAATACGGACAGGAAGAATTTATTGTTAGACATATTGTGCTGATCTCGTCAGGTGCTTTACTACAGAAAAAAACATTAATTCTATTAAAATGGTCTCTCATGATGTATTGTGCTGATCTAGTAGCAAGAAGGTCACTGTAGAAACATGACTTACCAGGGTAACTTCAAACAAATTATGAATTCCTTTTGCTTACATAAAGGAGGGTTGTTAATTAATTTTTTTTATTCAATAAATTAACTCTAACCTCTTCTTCTTCCATCTGCTTCAAAATCTCCGGTAAATTCTTTCCTTCAAGTTCTTCCAGAAGCTTCAGAAGCTTCTCTTCAACTGTAGACAGCTGGTCAAGAACGTACTCGTCTGAAGATGGTGAAATCTGAGGTGAGAGTACATGCCCCCTGCTCTGTGGATCAGTTATTCAAAGTGCCATAAAAAATTTCAATCTAAACAGGAAGTAGAAATAATCAGCTTAACAGTAGCACAATCATGAACAACAAAAGAATATTGGGTCACAGAGCTTTCCTTAGTACATGACACATACAAACAATGACGCAAACAGGAATACACAAAATCATTTATCTGTAAGTTAAGATCTTGTCTCAAAAATATCAATAACACATCTGAACAGTAGAAATTCTGAGTACATGTGCAATGCAGGTAGACGATACTGCACGGTAAATAAGCCAGAGAGGCAGGATAGGTAAGTTACAGCAATAAACATAACTCACAAATATTTCAGATAACGCTCTGTTGGACATTAAGGTTCTTAGGATAAAGAGAGCCCATTAGATGGTTAAGATGGTTCTCAAAAGACTTACAGACTCTTTCATTAGAATTACTAGACTTGATGGCCATAACCTCCATGTCGTGGACACCCTGAGAATTAAAATGAATGGACTCTGTTTCGAGGGTATCATTCAGAAAGAGATGTTGCCATATTTCATCATTGAACATTGTGCATCTTTTGCAGAAGATAGCGCAAATTACATTACAGGCTTGTGCATTCACAGTAGAAAGAGTGGAGTACATACTGGTATACTGTTTCCCTACTTAACCCTTTTGCCCTGGAACACTGGAAAAAAAAAACATGAGTCATGACCCTGTGAGAATTCCAGAAATAAATTCTTTAAAAATAATTTTCCTCAAAATATTTATAGATATATGAAAGGAGTAATCAATAAACATGAACAGAGTGAAGCATTAAACATAATACATTCCATGGGGCCTGAAAAATATGTATCAGGTGGCTCATGTCATAACCCCATGACCTTTATCACTGAGGATTACAGGAAAATCATAAACCAACCAGGTTTTGACAAAGATATATGTCTCAAAGGAGAACCAACCTAAGGCTAGAATGTGTGAAGGCCTAGAATGTGTGAAAGCCTAGAATGTTTGAAGGCCTAGAATGTGTGAAGGCCTAGAATGTGTGAAGGCCTAGAATGTGTAAAGGCTTTGATGTTTAAAGGCCTAGAATATGTGAAAGCCTAGGATGTGTAAAGGCCAAGAATGTGTGAAGGTCTGGAATGTGTGAAGGCCTAGAACGTGTGAGGGCCTAGTGTATGAGAGCTTAGAACATGTCAAGGCCTATAATATATCAAGACCTAATAAGTCACGGTCTAGAATATGTTAAGGCAAAGAATATGTAAAGGTATGTCAAGACCTAGAAAAGACAAGGCCTAGAATATGTCAAGATTTTTCAAGGCCTGTAATATGTCAAGGCCTAGAATAAATCAAGGTCTAGAATGTGTCAAGATATTTCAAAACCTAGAACATGTCACAGTCTAGAAAAGAGAAGGCATAGAGTATGTCAAGGCCTAGAATATGTTAAGGCCTAGATACATGATTGTATGTACTCCTGTTTGTATCATAAGCCGAGGAAGGATCTGTTTGTTGTTGGGAGGTGGGGGGGGGGGGGGGTGAGAAAGACAAAGAGTGAGAGAGAACAACAGAAAGAGGGTTAGAGGAAGGAGAGAGAGAGAGTCCAATAGGATAAAACCTGGTGCAACAACGTTAATTCTCCAACTTTCAAACATTTTGCAACATCTTCTCATGCACACAAACACACAATTACAGAGAGAAAGAGAGATAGAGACAGAGAGAGCGAGAGGGAGAGGATAAAACCTAGTACAACAGCACTGATCCTCCAAGTTTTCAAACCTGCCCTGTGTTCATTTCATACATTGCACACTTCAAGATCAGTACAACATACCAGTTTCAGGTGATGTAGTTTGCCAGCTAAGTGTTCTACTCCGGCTTTGACCTGCACCAAGATGCGACTGGATTTCTGCAACTGTTCATCTGCATGGTCTCGCTTTGCCTCTTCCTTGGCCAGTAGTGCCTCAAACTCTTCCAGCACAGCCTGTCCACTGAAAACAAACAAATTAACATTGTAACAATCATTTAACAAATGCTTTAAAAATTCCTACAATTATTTTAACAAATGCTTAAAGAAATGTTAAAATAAATAGATGGCACAATTTATTGCCTGGCATATTTCGCTGTATCTCGTCAAGTGCATACTACAGTAACAATTACATAAATGAAGCAAATAAGTGAATCCTTTATAACTGAAGTACAATTTCAACATAAATTGTGCAGTCTATTGTTTGTGTCTTCTTTGTTTAAATTTACAATGGGGAAACACTGCCTTAAAATAAATGTTTCAATATTTCAACAACACCAACAACAACACCAACAATAACATTAAAAACAACAACAAACACACACCATGCATTATGAGCTGTTGTCCATTTGTTTAACAAAACAATAACTAAAAAAAAATGAAATGAAAACAAATAAAATGAGACAATAAATAAAATATGACAACAAATGAAATAGGATAACAAACAAAATAGAGCAACAAACAAAATGGGACAACAAATGAAATGGGACAACACAATAAATGGGAAAGCAAATGAAATGGGACAACACACAAAATGGGACAACGAATGAAATGGGACAACACACAAAATGGGACAACAAATGAAATGGACCAACAGACAAAATGGGACAACAAACAAAACCTAACATTAAAAAAAAAATTGAACAACAAATAAAATTAGACAACAAATGCAATGAGACAAATGAAATGGGAAAACAAATTAAATAGGGCAATAAATGAAATAAAACAGCAAATAAAATAAGACAACAAAAGAATGGGACAATAAATCAAATAAGACAAAAAATGAAACAGGACAACAAATAAAATGATACAACAAATGAAATTAGACACAAATAGTATAGGACACACACAAACAAACAAAAATAGGACAATAAATAAAATTGAACAACAAAGGAAATAAGACAAAAAATAAAATAAGACAACAAATAAAATTAGACAATAAATGAAATTAGACAACAAATGAAATAGGGCAACAAATGAAATAAGACAGAAAATTAAATAAGAAAGTAAATTGGCTGAAACAGGACAACAAATAAAATGGGACTACAAATGAAATTAGACACAAATAGAATGGGACAAAAAAGAAATTAGGATAACAAATCAAATGGGACAACAAATAGTACTGGAAAACACATTAAACAGGACCTCAAATATAATCAAACAATAATTAAAATTGGACACCAAAAGAAAAAAGACAAGAAATATAACAATGGATTTTTTTTAAAAAAGAGGGTGTAATGGGACAAAAACTAATGTAGAGTAACAAATAAATAATTGGACAACAAATGAAATCTGACATTTAACACACTGAAATGCTACTTGCTGACATTGCACAATCATTGTAATATTATAGGCACTGTTACTAATTTATAAAAAGTGAAGAATTCCAAGACCTTGAAAGTTTAGCTTCTCCTGAATATTTCATCTCCTCAAATTCCTGCTGAAGCTTTTTCTTCTCCTCCCTCAGTCGAATTATCTGCTTCTCATTGTCCTTTTTCAACTGCTCTAGGTGTTCAGTTGTGGCCCCTTGGTTCTCAAACCGCAGGACAACTTCCTGCATTAGTAACAAATGTGATCACATTAAGATGTTGAATGGAAAAATGCATAACATGCCATCTTAAATGTCACTTTATTCTATGTAACTTTTTGTTTTAGTTGCAGTTTTCTTATGCCCTGATGATGCCAAAGATCCAAATTTTTGGAATTTCTTGTTTCCCAAAAAATATTTCTTTAAAAAAAATAAAAAGACTGAAGCAATTCTGTTATCAGAGTTTCTTGTAAACAAGCCTTTATAACAAGCCAGGAATGGGCGATTTACAGGGGCCTGGCATAAACAGGAAGTGTTAAAGTGTGTGTGCTTCCTGAGGTGAGAAGATTAACATTGATAATGGCTAAAAAAAATAACTACTTGACTGGAAACAAAACATATGAAATATGGACTTTAAAGGACTTACAAAATTTATGACCCATGTGGTGTATTACAAAAATTACAGTTTGTCTATGTGCTAATAAATCATAAGACAGAATAATGACATATCAGACCACTTTAAATATTCTCAGTGACAGATTATCACAATTATTTTAAAAAATACACTTAAATTACATGAAACTTAACAATCTATAGCCTTAGAGTCTGTTGCAATCCATACACAGTCTATGTAATATTAAATAGTCAAAAGTAATTGATATGCATAAATAACAAATAATAAAATGGAAGAAAAGATCAAACTCTGCATAACCCCAATTTTAGCCTAGATGAGTTGAAAAGGATGTCATTGATTAAATTACTAATACTACTACAAAACATATGATTTACCTTCAGATATCAATAGATAATAAGAATTTAAGCAGTCAGTAAATTAGTATCCACGTGGGATGAAGTATGCAGATACTTATTCTACACATAAACTCAATCAAAGTATAAAATGTGTCAGATATTCAAGTGCATTCCTTAATATAACCCAGGTAAGTTGAAAAGGCTATTTGTTTAAATTACTAATATTGCTACAAAATATATGACCAAGCTTCATATGTCAGTATTCTTCTGTAGCCGGGTGGCCAACGGCTAAATAATTTTAATGTGGCTGATGCAAACAAAAAATCTGGCAAGTCTACATGCAGTAAAAAGGACGGCCCAAGAAGACTGGCCTCTTAGCTTCCCGTCCACTGGACTGAACGGTAGCCCTGGGTATAGGTGACTCGGTCAAGGGATGTGCTGGTGATAGTTTTTTGGTGGTAGTACAATTCAATAGTTACATGGTGCAAGATATAAATTTCCATCATAGTTAGATCTGAATTTTCTCTAGTAGGTAGACTGTGTTTACAGTGTGTATTATCGCTTGGAGATATTTGATTTCAGGTCCCTGAGAGCGAATTTTTGTTAGTTGGAGTGAGTAGCACATAGTCTGTTCAAACATGATGCTGGTTGTTAATGTAATATTATCTGTGAGGCACTTAGTTTTGTGTTCAGGAAAATAAACAGATGTTGAGTGTGATGGTTAAATTCATTTGCTTGATTCAAGATAGAATTTGTAGTTCCTGCATGTGGTCTTCTAGGCATTGCCTCTGAAGCTGTAGTAATGTGTTTTTGTTATAGTTGTGTAGCTCATTTTTCACATATCCTTTGCCTGGGCTATGATCATATTTCATAGCCCCTGCACAGAAGAACCCTAGTCTTTTCTCTACTTTTCCTGTTTTTTGTTTGTTGTTGTTGCTGTTCAGAGGGGAATTGCTTATTGTCCTAACCACATTTTCTTTCCTCCTCTCATCTACTTCTTGTTTTACCTTTTCCTCATTCCAGCTAGCACACTTCTATAATAATTTAAGTCATCAGTAATTAGTATTCACCTGGGATGAAGTGATATAGCCCAGATGAGATAAAAAGGATATTTGTTTAAATTACTAATATTATTAAAAAACATATGATGTACCTTCAGATTGCAATATTCTGCTATAATCATTTAAGTCTTCGGTAATTAGTACCCACCTGGGATGAAGTGATACAGCCCAGATGAGTTGAAAATTATATAATTGTTCAAATTACTAATGTTACTACAATACATATGATTTACCTTCAGATTTCTATATTCTGCAGCAATAATGTAAGTAATCAGTAATTAGTACCCTCCTAGGCATGAACTGTCTTAAAACATCACTCTATACAGAAACTCTATCAAAGTGTGAAAAGTGTATACCATTGTATCAGATATCCCTGTGCATTCCTTGATTCTCTTGAAAGCCTCCTCATATGTTGTGATCTTCTGCTGGTGATCCTCATACCTCAGAGATGAGCTAAACTCATCATGTTGCAGCGCACTTCTCTGAGCCTGGAAGGAAGAAACAGTTGGACAGTAATTGAGTTATTCTGAACCCCCCCCCCCCCCTTCTTTTCTAACCTCCCTTTTTTTCTTCATTATTTTGAAACAGCAAAGTGAAGTAAAAGACCCTTTTCCACACCTTCAGGCACATAGGGCTAGACCTATATATTTTATATATTTTATAGACCAGTCGGCACTTGCTGGGTAATGTGGTCAAAATCATGCTGGCCGCCTGGTACCCACTTAAGCTGGAAATGCCTGGGAGCCAAGGTCATTTCTGAAGAAAAAAAAAAGTCAGGAATCCGTCAGGACCTGATCCATGACCTTCCGATTCACATGCAAGTGTCTAGCTGCTACAACATGGCGGTTTTCCTGGAAACAGCAAAGGATAATCAGATAGCAGATTTGGTACCATGTGTTATCATTTAAAGCAACAAAACAGCAGTCTCTTTATCCAGCTGGGCATCATTGTACATTACCTTCAACTGTTTCAGCTGCTCCCTAGTTTGTCAGATTTCTGACTCCAGGACATCCAACTTGTGAGGATATTCCTGAGCTTCCTTTCATCATTATGACATGACTGGAGCAAAGGTCTCTGTCTGAGCAGTGGAGAACAGTGGTAATGGTGACTGTAAAGAGATGGGTGTCCCACAAACTGCTACCGTGAAGTGGGTGGAATTGGTCTGGGGAGGGTCATGGTGTGTTTGAGTTTCTGCTGTGCTTTTTTTTTTACAGGATGTGTCGAAGGATTTCAGTGTGACATGGCTCAAGCAGGGCTGGTACTTTTTAGGATGAGGTTCATCTTTGTTGGTTTAGATGAGGGAAAGAATGTCTGAGAGTGGTGTAGAGCCACTAATGGTGTGTGGGAACAGTCATAGACAATCAGAAAATTGGTGAGACATTTATCAGTGAAAGGCGTTATGTATTATACAAGCAAATCATGACATGAGTGCAGGGGTCTAATCTGTGTACGTAAAGTAACTTGTTATAAATAAAAAATAAAGTGTTTGTCATAAGGTCCCAGTACTGACACCTTTTTAGACACTTTCTAATAAGTACAAGCACCTTTTTAGACATTTTCTAGTGAGTAATAGTACCTTTTTAGACATTTTGGTGAGGACCAGCACCTATTTTTCTAGAAGAAGCCCTGCCAACATTCATCTAAATAAATCTACATCCCCAGAATTCCAAGACAGAGAATACAAAAACAAGTAAAGAAAAAAGTTACTCACAATTCTTTTCTCAATTTTTTCATACTGCAGTTTCTTCTCCTCTGCTTCCTTTTTCATCTTCTGTAGCTCTATTTCTCTTTTCTTTCTCTCTGCATACACAGTTTCTTCAAGCTGCCTCAAGTCATTGATAGCAGTCTCTTTAGCCAGCTGGGCATCATTGTACATTACCTTCAACTGTTTCAGCTGTTCCCTAGTTTGCCGGATTTCTGTCTCCAGGATGTCCAACTTTCGAGGATATTCCTGAGCTTCCTTTCATTTAAAAAAAATGATTTTGTTACCAAAAATGCAAAGAAGAAAGCAATAAAGACACGTAAAGTCCTGGCAAATGGGAAATGTCTTGAACAAATGGATTGGTAAAACTATATTGGAACAGTCATAACATCTGTTGCAAGATGCCTTGCAGAGATTAGGTTTAGAATTGTCATGGCAAAAGTTACCTTTAGTAAAATGCAGAAGATACCAATAAAAAAGATGTCACACCAACTACAGTGAGAAAAATAGTGTAAAAGAGTTGTCAAGAACCTGTGATCAATATACAGTTTTTTTTTTTTCAAGCACTATTCAATTTATTCAAGGGTTCCCAAGCAACTTAAGAGTACAGAAATCTGACATAACTGAGAAGAGTATGTAGTATGTAGTAATTTAATCAAAAATATCTTGTTCAACCTATCTGATTACAATTGGGATTTCCTGTGTGGGTTCTGGCACCCTATTTGGGGGACAAGAATAGACCCACTGCCTCCCCAACTATCATGTCATATGAGTCAACTAACTGGGTGCTTCCTTCAAGTCAAGTGCATCTGCCTGAGAGGCAAGGAACCAACGATCAGCAAATAAAAAAGTCAGATCTATAAAACGGATGTGCCAGCAACACCCAGGTTCTGGAACATGACTAATCTTCTTCTTCTTCGCATTCAAATGCTGTAAACTCTGGCGCAAAGTTTTGGTTGTTTGTCCACTTCTGGACTTTGAGTCTTTTTCCAGAACCTGAGTGTTGCATGTGAATGCGTTTTACAGATATGACTCATCTGCATGCAGCTGTTGGTTCTTTGCCTCTCAGGCAGATGCACTCTGGCTTCAATGGAAGCTCCCAGTTAGTCACTCTTAAGACATGCTATTGGGTAGGCAGTGGGTCTATTCTTGTTTTCCCTACATTATGGCCCCGGAACCCACTTGGGGAAACAAGATTAATGTCCAGAGTTTAATGTCTACCGGAGTTTACAGCCTGTGAACATGAAAAAGAAGAAGATAATTAGGACTTATTTAAAAGAAAATATTTAATTTTTTTTTGGGTAATAGATCCCTTTTCACACCTTAGGCGCATCAGGTATATGGGAAGAGCGTCCCATATTTTTACAGACCAATCGGCACTGGATAGGTAATGTGGTCAGCATTACGCCGGCTTATTTTGGTAATGCTTGTCAGTTATTTTTGGTTATTTAAGAATGGCTTCATGTTCTGTTTGTTACAGATTGTAGTAATATAGATTGTAAAAATTGAAAGTTGAATCAATGACATGTTTGTTCAGAGGCACTGGGTCTTCTAATATTTTCTCTGAAAAGAGGACTCCAGAACCCTCAGAAGGTCCTTCTATCTTCTTTCTACTTCTTTCTATGAGTGCTGATCAATACATTGTCTGTTTGTTTATTATGTATATAATGTTTCCACTGCCTCAAGGGTTCCACCTCTGTTTATTTATGAGGGAGGATCATTTTTCTATGACATGTTTCGATTTGCTATTCTGCACACATCATCCTCACTAAAGATGTGTTATGGTGCTTTATTAATATCCTACCCCAAACAGGGGAAATCCACAGGTCACGGGACAGTCTAATATTTCAGGGGTTGGTAGACAGGCTGCATGCAGTCATTGGACCTAGGCTGCATGCAGTCACGGGACTTAGGCTGCACTCTCTCATGGGACGTAGGTGGGTTGGGGTTAGGGTTAGGGCCAGTTCTAGATGTTTTGGGGTCATTAAAAGCATTTGAAAGCCGGGAAACCCAGTCTTACCACCCTCTAAAATGTTAGACTGTCCTGCGATGTCATCTGAGGTAGGATATTAATAAAGCACCCATGCTATTAACAACAAGTATAACTCACTGCTTCAAATTTACTTTTGATGTCCAGGTAAACTCTCTGTACTTGCTTGGCCTCCTCCATTTTCATCATGACTTTGTCGTAACTGTTCTCCAGATACCGCATTGTCTGGTTGGGTATAGAGACAATAAAAGTATGAAAACAACACTGAGAATAATATTTTAATATGGAAATGTTTGTACATGTTGAAGGACGTGTAGTTACTGATATGGACACTCAGCTATCTATTGCCTACTGCTAAGCTATAGGTGAATGATATCATTTGCTAGTCTACACTTGCTAGAAGACTCATCAAAATTGTACTGTCATACTATTGTTTGCCATTTCATGTTATTTACTCCATATCCACCCAGTCTTTTTTGAGAAAGAAAAAAAAAATAACCTATTGCCCCCCCCCCCTCCCCCTTTTTCCCCCAACAAGCATGTCATAAAAGGTGATGAATTTAGGGGTTTTCATTCTAAGTTAGAGTGCATCTGTCTGGGAGGCAAAAAAAACAGTAGACTACATATAAATTAGTCACATCTCTAAAACAGATGTGCATGCAAACCTGAAGTTCCAGAACAAGATTCAAGTCCAGAAGAGGATGAACAACCAGGACTTTGCCCCAGAGTTTGCAGTGGTGAATGCTAAGATGAAGAAGAAGAATTCAGTCTCTAATTTTCTTGTCCATGTGTTTTTTTTGGTCTGTCCCTTTTTACTCATAAGTTTCAGTGCAAGGAGACTCTAGTTATAACTTGGGGTATCTGGTGACTTTCTTATTTTGTCTCCACGATGAAGTGGTCTAGTCATTACTTCATGGTCTCAAAACGATGGATTTGTTATTTGTTTAGTGTATAAATGCAGTTTCTTGGAAATCCCTTGGAAATCCCTTGGAAATCACTTGGAAATCCCTTGGAAATCCCTTGGAAATCCCTTGGAAATCCCTTGGAAATCCCTTGGAAATCCCTTGGAAAGATTGCTGTGCAGCTGTGAAGTCCATGCTATGAGTAAAGCTCTCACCAGGAAAACAAGGCCTGCTGGATTAAACGTCCATAATAAATAAATTCTTTCACCTTTAAACTATAAAATTGTCAGTCAGTCAGTCAGTCAGTCAGTCAGTCAGTTAGTTAGTTAGTTAATTGATCTATCATGCCTGGCTCTCTAGTGTAGTTGGCTAAACCAGATTGCGCGGAGACTGGGTGACGAACTCCTTGTGGTCCGGGTTCAATCCTGGGGGTAGGCAGGAAAGCCACATTTTCTCCCAGATTTACAGCATTCACAATGGAATCAAGGCCGAAAGGTTGCGATATCCATAATACAGAGCCTAAGGGTTAACAACTTATGGCTTCTGGATACTAAAACAAACAAACAAACAAACAATCTATTCTATCATCCACATCGCACATCAGATAAATCCATAAGTGCTCAGTTCGCAGGAATACATGCACTTGTTCTGGGCTGGCATTAACTCTTTGAGTCCCAGAGGGTTTAGTATCACAGGCCCAGGGGGTAGTAAAGGAAGTAAAAAAATCGCTGCATCATGCGTTCTTTGGGCTTCTAGTTCGGAACCTATGAACGTATGATGCATTCCTTGGGACTTAAAGAGTTAAGCCGTACAAGATTATGTTGAATTATATCAATATTTACATGACATATCTATATATACTGAGTATGTTTCATGCCTTTTGAATAAATAGGTCCTGAAAAAAAAACGATGTTGTAAATTACTCGCTGAATGCTTCTTGTAGTTAGTTAATTAATCGGCTGATAATTCCTCATCGGACATTTAAAAAGTCCATAAGCACTCAAATCCCATTCTCAGTAACTCCCTCAGCATGTAGCAACTGATAACACCAGTTCTGTGCTAGTTTGCTATTCTACTGTATAGCGGTAATGTCTGGCAACACCACTTTTGACATGAAGTTCTTGTAGTCATGTCCAGGTTGCAGATTCGCAGTCGCCTCCTGAATTAAACTATAAGAGAATTAGACCTGAATTAAACAGCCTGGATTTGGTCTGGATTGTCTGTAAAATAAACGAAATAAACTGATACTAAACAAGACAAAACACACAACCAATCCAACAAAAACAGCCTACCTGAGCATCAGCTGACTCCCCTTTATCTGTGTTCACAGCATCAGAAGAATCCTTCACCAACTGATCATACTGCATCTGTAGCTCCTCCAGCTTCTTCAGCTTCTGGGCAGTTATGTGACGTTTGGCATTGAGCAATTTGACCGTGTCACAAACTTTGTGGTCAAAGATTACAATCGCTTGCTAATGAAAAACCAAAACTGAAATATCAAATTTCTTGGAAATTCAAAGCTTGGAAATGTGAACTAAAAAGACATAAAAGTACATGAAGATATGCATATGACAAGATGCAGAAAAATATGACACGCATATAAGTGGTATACTCAACATTGTTAAGTGTTGACTGCTATCCTTCGAATATTGGCCACACATTAAAGCGACCAAAAAACACAACCCTGACAGGGCCTCATTAGGTCATAGGTTGTAAACAATCAAAAACTTGAACTCAAAAATAATGAGAAACACACAAAAAGGGAAAATAACGAAATTGACTACTTTGCGATCATTGAGGCCTTTATATCTGAAAATTGTGGTACAGAAATTGAAAACAGTGCCTGAAAATCTGCTCTTTGTGGCTGTGGTGCCATTGAAACAGCTAAATATGATCGGAACAAGGCCCATCTAGTGCTGCATTGGTAACACAGTTTTCACTGCCGAGAGTATCCCCCTCGCTTCTACGGGACTCACGAGCAAATAAAATGAGGAAGCTGCATGATGCGGTAGCTGCTGCTCCTGAGTCCCAGCCATTTAGTCTAGCCCATCTCAGCGCCGCACGCTGGCGGTTTGTTGCGTTTTGCGACACTATCATCGGAAACTTATCCTACTTTTGCCACAGTATATTTCACCGGAATGAAGTCCGCAATTTACATGTGACTGAGGCCCTGGATGTTTTTTTATTGTTTGCCATAATGTGTGGCCATTATTCAGAGAATAGCAAGAAACCAACATTCTGCACACAAATGAGTCAGATCTGTAAAACGGATGCACATGCAACACAGCTTCTGGAACAGGCTTGCAGTCCAGAAGTGGATGAACAACCAAAACTTTCTGCCATTGTTTACAACCGGTGAACGCAAAGAAGAAGAAGAAAAAGTTACAAAACCAAGACAAGAGCTTGTGATCTTCAATTTCCTCATCGCAATTGTCTGTATAAACACAAAAGAATAAGAAAGTGTCAACTTACTGGACCAGACTTATTTGATAAAGCTGCTCTCTCCACTGGTCGGTCATGGAAGGCTTTTCCTATCACATGTGCATCTTGCTGTTTGAAGAAGAAAAAAAAAGAAAAAAAGGTTTGACTATTTAAAATGTCTATTTATGTTTTTAGGCTGCAAGAAACTTTTTGACATGGTACAGCATGAACAGTTAATTACAGTGAGGGCCTCAAATTTCAGAGAGCATGGCAAATTAATGAACATAAAACTGGCCCAGTAAAATAACAAACAACCAACAAATGCTGGCATTGGTTTGCAATATCCTGTAAAGACACCAAATTAGGATTTCTTTTGTCTACCAGAACATTTCTTGGTACCATTTTAATCATTCTTCTTCCTCCTCTTTTGTTTGGAAAAAACATTTCTTGGTACCATTATAATCATTCTTCTTCTTCCTCCTCTTTTGTTTGGAAAGAACATTTCTTGGTACCATTTTAATCATTCTTCTTCCTCCTCTTTTGTTTGGAAAAAACATTTCTTGGTACCATTATAATCATTCTTCTTCTTCCTCCTCTTTTGTTTGGAAATAACATTTCTTGGTACCATTTTAATCACTCTTCTTCCTCCTCTTTTGATTGGAAAGAACATTTCTTGGTTCCATTTTAATCATTCTTCTTCCTCCTCTTTTGTTTGGAAAGAACATTTCTTGGTACCATTTTAATCATTCTTCTTCCTCCTCTTTTGTTTGGAAAGAACATTTATTGGTACCATTTAATCATTCTTCTTCTTCCTCCTCTTTTGTTTGGAAAGAACATTTCTTGGTACCATTTTAATCACTCTTCTTCCTCCTCTTTTGATTGGAAAGAACATTTCTTGGTACCATTTTAATCATTCTTCTTCCTCCTCTTTTGTTTGGAAAGAACATTTCTTGGTACCATTTTAATCATTCTTCTTCCTCCTCTTTTGTTTGGAAAGAACATTTCTTAGTACCATTTTAATTATTCTTCTTCTTCCTCCTCTTCTGTTTGGAAAGAACATTTCTTAGTACCATTTTAATCATTCTTCTTCTTCCTCCTCTTTTGTTTGGAAATAGATTATCTATATCTGTAATGTTGTCTCTTGTATGAACTTCACTGTCTGTTGTAATTCAGTCAGCCACTAGTAAAGTTTGGCCTGCACCGATGTTGTATATGGGACAGTTTTGGAGGATATGATATGTTTTCTTAGGTGCTAATCCACATGTACACATGGCTGACTCACCAGTTGTAAAACTTTAAATATTATGTAGAAGATACCAATAACAGATCAAGCAGATGAAACACTGAATACAAAAGGAATCAAAGTAACTGATCAATTTAATTATTTAGGTTGCAATTTTTATAGTCAAGGATACACACAGACAGAAATTAGGACATGCATTGGCAAGGGATTAGCAGCTTCAACTCTGTGTCCCAGGGAGTTTAGCATCAGAGGGCCCAAGGGGTAGTCAAGAAAAACGTAAAACGGTGCAGATCACCAAACAGGTACTAAAATGGGAAAGAAAAGGATTGAGGAAGCAAGGATATCTATAAGAAACCCTCAAACGAACGTTGATGAGAGAGGCCAAAGCTGCTGGACTGGATTCCCTCCATGATATTAAACTGATTGCACAAGATAGAACAGAATGCAGGAACAGACTGTGAGCCTTTTGTGACACACAACTCTTTGAGTCCCAGGGGTTTAGCATCAGAGAAACTAGGTGTAGTCAAGAGAGATGTAAAATCAGCACATCTTGTGTTCATTGGGCCTCTAGGTAGGAACCTATGAAAGTATGATGCATTCCTTGGGACTCAAAGAGACAACAGAACAATAGGACACTAGTGATGATATTAGTTTGGGTTAATCTAGGAGCAGTGCTGATTATGTAAAATCTCCCAGCTTCTATGGGGATTCAAACCCATGAACACCAGGATGGCAGGTCAGCATACTTTATGTGTCTACGCTTTACATGTCCATGCTTTTTTTTCTACTTGGAAATTAAATACATAAATACCGATAATCTGTCCTTGAGACGCTGCCTCAATTCTTTTGTCTCCTTCCGGAGAGAGAGTATAGCTTCCTTATTTCTCTTGATGGCATGCTGGGATGACTCCAAGTAGGCTTTGCGATCTCCCTCTGTTGATTGTTCAATAAAATGGAGGCATTTCAAAGCTTCAAATCAAAGATACTGAAACTTTTTTTTTTCAAACATGGCAGCAACACAGAAAATAATTCCACTGGGGTGTGAAGTACTATTAGCATTTATGGCTCTCCTTTAAATAACGGTCGCTAGCTGGAAGGGCAACGGTTGCTTAGTCGGAGTTCACTCCCTTGGCTGCAGTGCAAATACAGAGTGGTAAAGAGGGAATGAAACAAATGATATACTTACCTGTCATGCTACGGTTGCTTAGGGTTAGGCTAGGCTTAGGGTTTGGGGTAGGGTTAGGGTTTGGGTTAGGGGTAGGGTTAAGGTTTAGGTTAGGGTAAGGGTTTGGGTTAGGGTTAGGGTTAAGTTTAGGGTTTGGGTTAGGGTAACACATGTAGCGTCGAGTACTTAACCATAATAAGGGCCGCTATATGCAAAAAAATGTGTGTTGCCGATAGACAGCGTGCACTGCCCTGCTATAATCAAACGGTTTGGGTTTGGGTTAGGGTTAGAGTTAGGGTTAGGGTTTGGGTTAGCCACCGCAACCACGCAAGCTTATCGTTCATTAAGGCATACAGATCCGGAGGTGTCACATCTACGGCCACTAATTCTTGCGTCGCAAGAACGTGGTCGCTAATGTGAGTCGCAGCACGTGGTCTAGCTCTAGCAGCCATGTCGACGTCAATTTGTGTTGTGATTCGTGCCTTTTCCACTCCGTAATTGCACTGTAGCCAAGGGACAGAACTCTGACTAACCGGCCGTCTACTGTTGTCTACCGGCCGTAGTTTACAGGAGAGCCAAACATTCTTATTTTGTTGCATGATGAAGATAATGTTCTAAATGATTGCTTATATCTGTCTGTGTGTATTTAACAAATCCTTTTTTTTTGCTGCGCTTCCATGCTTTAAAAGTTTATTGATTTTATGTTCAAGTTTCTTTGTTTGACTGAAAGAAATGCGATAACCGATACCTTAACAAACACCGATAGTCGATAGTCGCACTGATAGCTCACCCAAAAGGGAAATCTTTGCCTTCAGCTCCTCTATCTGCTCAGAGATTGATCTCTGTGCATCGTGTAGTTTGTTGGGCATTTGCACAGGTTAGGAGAGACACTCTATTGAATCTCTAATTAAAATATAATGTTAATCTGCAACGCAATTCGACACAGAATACGTCCTAGCAATGTTTATCCTTCTGTTACCATGGTTGCACGCATGCGTAAAGGAAGGGAAACCACTCAAAAAAAAACTCGACGTGTTGCCCACGACGAGTAGCTCGGCTGGTGACGAAAACATCCAAGTATGTTTTTATTTATTGTCATAGTGTATGTGTGGCAAAGTAGTAGAGCCATTTGCATCGCTTTTTGACGGTCTTGGCTCGTTTCACGGACGTGTCGTTCAGCTGACAAGTACAGTTTGTATAGAGATCGCTGCTGGAGCTATAGAGTGTGTTCTTTGTGAGACGTTCTACATGCGTTAAACAAAATCGTGTCATTGTCGTGTCATGAGTACTGGCCAGTGAATAAAAGCGCATGTGCTTAATCGTTTTATGATGCATAGATTCTGTTTCTGACCGATAGGAAAATCACCAGGTTGGTCGAAAATCCGCCCAGAAAAGCTCAACAAATAGCGATTAAAATTCTTTCATTTGAAGGAGGGTATACAAAAAGGTCCGCTCTGTGGCTAAGTCGATGCGAACGCTTCGTAATGCCGGGATGCTGGGTTCGATCCTAACTGCGGGCCATGCGCCTTGCTTTGGTTTCGACAGTGGTATCAACAAAACAGACCGTCCAGGAAGCAATTGCAAACTACTGGACGTAAATTTGCCTAGAAAAACCGCACAACAGCCAGGGACTAGCGTTGGTTCTGCAACGTCCTGTAAAGGATACGCAACTAACCATACAGAAAAGAATTCAGGCAGCGTAAGGTAACAGATGTGTGTCGAAGACAACAGTGACAGACTGGGCGCGAATGTTTCGGAAAAGATGTTGAGTTTACGACAGATCTTTAATCTGCCCACAATAACCTTTCAACAAGGTCATCATATTTTGACCTGAAAACGGGCAAGGCGTTTTCCCCCTACTCTAAAGGTCAAGGGTTCGTTTCACGTACTCGATCAATTCAGTTTTAGGTACGGAGTTCACTCTGGATCATAGCCTTTTTTTTTTCTGTTTGTTTACTCATCGCCGTGTGGGTTCCAGTGCCCCATCTTTGTTTAGGGAGCAAGATGAAGGGAGGGGGGATAGTCCTGCTGCCCTCTCAACTCTTCGTCCCTTTTTTTGCCCCTACCTGCGCGTTGGAGGTATATAGGCTGACCGTCATTCCATTGAACGAAGTTTTTTCGCCAGGGACACTAAATGAGTATCGTGTATTCTATACATTAGAGTCCTATGTAGTCACTTCATAGTTAGAGCCTATTTGTGTATGTGTACTGTGTTGTCCTTTATGTGCTGATGAAGGCTAATCGCCGCAACGTCCTTTGTTTGTTTATTGTGATCGATTTTGTAAAGCTAACATAAACTAATTGTTGTTTCTTACCAACTTTTTCTCTTCCCTATAATTTTCTACTCCTTATAAAAACTGTCAGTCCCAAGGAAGCATCATACGTTCATAGGTTCCTACCTAGAAGCCTAGTGAACAGAAAATGCGCAGATTTTACGTCTTTCTTCACCACCCCCTGGACTTTGATACTAAACCCACTGGGACAGAAAGAGTTAACAAGAATATTGTAAGAGACGACTGATTAAAGATTTCTCCTTCGAAGTTCGAGTGCATTTGCCTGAGAGGCTAGGAACCAACAGTCTGCAAAAAAGGACAGACGTGTCAAACGGACGCACACTCAAAACTCCGAAACAAAGCCAAAGTTCAGAAACTGGCGTACAACTAGGATTTGCCCTCAGATTTTACAGTTTGGCGAACACAAACAAATATACATTATTCACTCAGATGTTTATTTAGTTGTACTTTTTTCTCGTTGCCTGGCGTTCTGAAGGTCAAAAAGGTCATACTTGTCCGAAGCCGACTCCCCCCCCCCCCCCCCCCCCCCCCCCCCCGATCCATACAGCACTTCCTCTTGGGACTACTCAGTGCTCACGCAGCACCTGCAAAACATGCCCATTCGTTGTCCAGACTTCTTCGGTCAGTGTCCCTAATGGTTCTTTTCAAATTAGGGAACCTTTTACTTGCGAATCCCGCAACGTAATTTATGCAATTATCTGCAAACGATGCAGCATGGCATACATTGGGGAGACTGGCAGGAAGCTAGCTGATCGTTTCCGGGAACACCTCTCTGATATCGACAAGAAGACACTCAAACCAATCCCTCTTCATTTTAATAGCCCTGACCACAGCGGTAAAGATGACATATCTGTCACAGCATTAAAATCTTGCTCTGGCGATCATACTGCCCGCCTCGCTTTGGAAAATCGCCTTATCGACAGCCTTGGCGTTCTTAGTCCAAGAGGTATCAATATCCAACATACCTTCATCTAATTAGTTCTAATCTTATCACATTTTAAATGTTAATTATTTTATTTTATTTCATATTATTACCATATTCTATTTCTTATCAATATCATTTATGTATCATTAACACTTGCATTTCTTTTATTCCCAGTATTGTGACTATATTTTTTAGCCATCGTTTATTTTATTTTATTTCATTTATTCCGCATCACATTTTTAAACGTCGCTCACGTCACCCCTTAGAGATCTACATACTCTCCATTCCTCGTTTGTGTAGTCCACTTGTGTTTGAAAAAGGCTGCCTGGCCGAAACGTTACTTTGTGTTGTTTTGTGCACGTTTTCCTCTTTCCCATTTTGTTGAGCTTTTTAGTCAAATTTCTCTGGAATTCGTTCTGAAGGTCATGGGCTCGTATTACGGCAGTGCAGCTAAGTTCACGAGTGCAATTTTTACGGAGATCCCTGGGGCTTGTAGCATGAGCTACGGAGGTCGTGCATTGTGCGACGCTCTCGGCAGGCAGCTAGCTGTTCTGTGGAGAAAGTATGAGCCATATGGAATAAAATCCAGTGCAATGAAGTCGATCCTCTCATTTTTACATTACCTCTCCACGATGTGTCTGATAATTCAGAAAGAAATGCGTCCTTCTACTCTTATTTTCTTTAAATAACAACAGCAACTGACCTATTTGTTCGGTAAAATGTGCCAATTAAAGACTGTCTGAGAATCCCTAGACTAAATCAATGACGTGACCGTTCTCTCTAGCACAAATCACGTCCGACTTTTGCTATATTTACTGCTCGAGCCTGGCTGTGCACAAACTCTTGGCTGTGTCGTCGAAGCTCGTAACTCATTGTCAGTGAGCGCTGTTCGGCCATCTCTTCAGTTGCTTATGGCAGAGACTCCCAACCTTGCTTAGTTTAGAAGTTTACCGACAAGATCATTGTAAGACTGCAAATTTTAAAGGCAACTATTACCATCTGATTAAACAGAGATGTTGCCTTATAATGTTACTAGCTGGGACCGTTTCAAACGACGCTTCCAGTCAGTCAATCTGTCCCCTCAATCAACATTTGTTTACTGTGTTGCTATAACAACACCGTTAGCGCCTCAGCATTGACCTTTTTAACTCCCCCTTGCATGTAGTTAAGTGTCACTTAACTCAGGCTTACCCCGTATTGACTTGTGGCAGCACGACAATTATTTAGTATATAATATTATATAATAGTTTATGGTTAGACGGAGAATACTAAACCATGCTTTAATTACAATCTTAAATCAATAGAAGCAAAAAAATAGAATAAATCAATATAATCAATAATCAGAGAAAATGCATATACATTCGTGACGGTTGTAAATGTTTGAAAAGCAACTATCTCTAGCCTAGGCACACTTGAGATCGATTTCAGACCTGCTGGAGCCTTATTCGGGACGACTGGGAAGTGCAGTGCTAATATTATTATCAAATGGCTTGAAACGGAATGTTAGGTTAACACGCCGCAGTTCGTTCTATAGACTTCCTAGTCTGGCACTGGTATATTTTCTTTGTCATAGCTTATTAGCCGTTACTCGTTGGGTGAAATCAATTTTAATTAACTATCCAAAAGTGTGCTATATTATCTTAGAAGGAAATTTCTCTGTAACGAGTTTTAACTTCATGGTAAAGTAAGCCTCAGTATTTCACCTGTTTAGTTGACTTTGAAACGTGCAAGTTACTTATTTTCAAATGTTAAGTTTTCTTCTTGTTATTTTGACTGTATCTGTATGTACATGGTAGTCTTCTTCTTCTTCGCGTTCACTGGCTAAAACTCCGGTGGAAAATTGTGGTTGTTTATCCACAGCTAGACTTTACCCTGTTCCAGAACCTGAGTGTTGCGTGCACATCCGTTTAACAGATCTGACATGCTCGTGTGGGAGGCAGTAGGAATATTCTTGTTTTCCCTATAATGGAACCGCGGAACCAACACAGGTACACACAGTGGTAACTTCTAATAGAAATTATATAATTTTTGACCTGTATTCGGAAGAGTTCCGTAACTTCTTTCATTTTGTAGAGAATCTGACCTATACATTCATACTGGTTATGACATTTGTCAAATCTCGTATGCACTTTTCAACTGTGTCTTTGAATATATATGTTGCACAAAAGTCTTGGAAATGAACGGGACAGTGAAGGAAACAGACATGCTATCCCCCCCCCCCCCCTTCCAAAAAAAAAAGGAAATTATGATAAATCATAAAGCAGCTTACTTTCTACACACACCATTGCTGGCTAGAGCGTACAAATGTTGAAAAGATTTATTATTTTACACATACAGATGACACAGGGTGGTTCTAGACAAACAAGATGGAGGTGCAGAGAAAGCGATGTGGAGGAATACTATAAAGTTGATGGATTCAAGGTGCAATAGATGATTTGCAAGTGACAGTAACAGAAGCATTATATTCACAGAGGACTGGACAGAAATATAGAAAACAGAATACAGAAGACTAACAACATAAATTAATGGAAGTATATGAAATATTCAGAGCATATTTATCTATCATGTTTATATTGACTTTCTAAACAGGCAAATATAAGAACTAATAGAAGTAAATGGAATTCCTTTAAATATAATCTGTACATTGTTT